TGGCAGATGGAGCAGCTTTTTACCAGTGGGGGATTTGTGCTTTGCTGCCAAGGATATTGAGGAAAGAAGGAATTATGGTAATTTGTCTATTTTTCTCCATTGCAAGCTACTTTATGAGTATATGGAATTAACTCATTTGGGGTATAAGTTACGGTTTTTGGAACTTGGCACATAGCACGAACTATGTTCAGAATGTGTATCTACTGTTTAAACTTTAAACGCTAGATATGAATGCAATGTACTGTCAAAAGATCTTATGTTGCTTGAATTTCAAAAAATCGTGGCAAGGTTAAGGTCCAGAAAACATTCCCGATAGTCTTTCTTTCTGCCTATTTTCTGAGATCATGTGCAGAATATGGGAGCTCTCAGAAAAAAAGAAACTTTGCTTCTCCCTGAAGCTTAACCATAAAAGGATATATAAAATGAAAAAAAAAAATTCTTGTTACAATTAATAATTCAAATATTATTTTTGTGTTAAAATCATAGTTACAGATTAATAGAGTGGCCAGATTATTGGTAAATTGTGCCCATAATACACGTTTATGACATGGGGTGGGTAACTTTGCTATCTTTCCTGATTTTTATATCATAGATTTTTAATAGCACGATCTGCATTTACTCTGTGAAAAAGTATACTGAATTTTCATGTTTTTCCATAGGCTTGGATATTCCAGGATATAGTTGTAGCTGATAAATCCTTTGGGACACACAATTATATCCTGCTCTTCAAAGAGAATATTTTAAGAGAATTATTAGTTTTCTCAGGCAATCACATGTGTATGGAAATTGCAAGATCAAATCCAAAATTCTTTGAACGTTTTTGGAGAAGCGAGAGCGTGTGAACATGATGAGCCATCTCAGTACAATTACTACTTTCTCAGAAACTGTCCTTCCATGCCCTGTAAGATCATTTTTTTTTTTAAGTTAATCTCTTTGTCTCTCTGCCTGTCTGTCTGTCTGTACTGGTGTCTCTCTGTCTCTCAATCTGTCTGCTTGTCTGTCTGTCTCCTGTTTTCCATTTTCTTTCATCTCCTGCTGTTTATGTATTCCACATCACTTGAAGACCATTGAGTCCTTATGGACCTTGTAAATTTAATGCCTCTAAATAAATTATGCATGCCATAAAGATGTTAGAAAGAGTGGAATGGTTATATTTCAGATGAGTAGTTATCATCTGAGGTGAGTTGAGTTATTTTGATAGAGAGTGAATCAGAAAGCATTTCCTGATCTTAGACAAAGACATTCTACTTTGAACCAAGTTTCTATTTTAGGTGAATTAAGTCTTTTTTTTTTTTTTTCCTGAGCTTCTCTTCCTGACTTCTTAATGTCACTGACAAAAAACAAAACAAAACCCTAGGTTTTCAAAGTTTTCGGGAAAATATAGGATGTGTTTTAGTAACAAAGTTGTGGAATTTGTTTGTTTGTTTTTGTAATAAAAGTGTTAATGCTGTAAAAGTTGTGTCTTACTGTCTCAAGTGTACACCAGGTTACTTTCTTGGGCATTTCTCCAAATCGTGATTTGTGGAGCAGCTTGATTCTATTCTGTTACCATTCCTTTGGAAATACTTGGCTTCTCAGATTTCTGAGGCAGTGATGGTTAGAAGAGGAGGTGATGTAGTTGGAAGGCCTGACTTTCCACTTACTGTCCTCTGGAACCCAGTCATTACCCTGTAACCTCACTGCACGAAGCCCTGGGAAGGATAGTACACCTGTATCTCTAAAAGAGTAAACTACACAGTAAATAAGCCACTTTTTGTGGTGTAGTTAATGCTCCAGTTTATCCATGCAGTGTTCATAAAACACTGGCAAATTTTTTGGAAGAAGAATGTGGTTGGAAGATAGAGGCTTTCTGACTTCAAAAGTAACCCTAAAGTTATAGTAATCAAGACAGCACGGTACTGGTGAACTTAGACAGCCCCCCCCCACACACACACAAACAAAGATCAGTGGTTAGACTGGTGGAAATACTTTCACACAATCTTTGTGCTTGTATGATTATACGCTTGCCCAAACTCATGAAACATTTACAGCAGGAATGAGTCCTAACGTAAACTACAGACTTTTGGTGATAACACAGTATCAGTATAGGTTCATCAGCTGCAGCAAAATTGCCACCCCGGCAGGGATGTTGAGGATGGGGAGATTGGCACGTTTCGGGGCAAAGGATATCTTCTGTATCTTCCTGTTAATTTTGTTGAAAATCTAAATGTGCTCTAAAGTTCTCAAAAAAAAAAAAAAAAAGATCGGTGAGACAGAGTCAAGAAATAGACCCACAGAGGTATAGTCAGTTTATAACTGACCAAGAGGTATGGCAGTTTTGGTATAGAAACGAGTCTTTTTTAATAAACTGCAATAACTGGATATCCACATGGAATCAAATGAAAAGAGAATCTAGAGACATAGCAAGAGCCATACGTAGGTGGTTTTTAAGGACTTTTTAAAGGGCTTTCTAAATTCCTATTTAATCACTGAGTGTGGTGGTACATTGTATCTTCCCAGCATTTGAGAGACTGAGGCAAAAGGATCACAGACAGCCTGGGTTACATAGTGAGTTCAAGACCAGTCTTAAGTACATAGCAAAGTCTTAAAACATTAAAAAAAAAAAAAAAAAAATAGAAAAAAAAATTGCCATAAAATGAAACCAAATGAAGCAAATGAAGATTTGGTTCTGTTGCAGTATTAATAAAAAGTTTTCAAGATGACACTACCTTTTGGCAGCAATTGAATGCCACATGAATTTATAGTGGAAGTGATTCGTTCCTATTTCCTGAAAATCTGTGTCCTATAGAATTACATTGTTTTAAGTATTATTTGTTACTCTTGTATTTGCAAAGTATCAGTCAGACAACAATTCTGTACCAAAACCAAAGCATTGATGATATGAAAGTTAACCAAATTATGTCCCTGTGCTCTAGAAACTTAATTCCAATTGGTGGAGACAGATTATGAAGTAATTATTTTAAAAAACGTACTAAACACATTCCAGAGAGTGTTAATTGCAATTACAGTCGTACAGATTACAGGGATGGAAGGTGATTTCAGGGTGAGGCTCAAGTAGGATCCATTAATAAATAAAATCTAGAATGAGACCCAAATGATAATCCTAGGATTATCTCAGATAAGCAGTGCAAGTGCCCAGAACTACAGACAGATTCAGTTTATGTCATGAGCAGGAAAGGTCTGTGTGGCTGGCATTTAATGTGGCACAGCAGGAAGGGTAAAAGGTAAAGTTAGAAAGAGTCTACATTGCATAGGTTCCTAAAGTGCAGACTATGAAACTGAGATTCTTCTCTCCTCTGTATCCTTTGGAGAATTATGAGAAGTGAGAAGAGCATATGTGACTTTCACTGTAAAAGAGATCTGTGTGTTGGCAGGCAGAATGGATAATGTACTGCAGGGGCGCTGGAGGTAACAGTGGAAAGCGGGCGGCCATACAGGGTTAGTGTTGTTTTATAGGTCAGACATAGAAAGGTTGCCTGCATTTGAGCAGCAAATTACTGAATTAACTAGATTGATCCAGGGTATTATTTAGAATTTTTAAATGAAGTTTAAATCGGTTTCATGCTTTTAAGTCTGTTTACTTTGAGATCATTTAAAATTTTTGAGGCTACTTTGTTGCCAGCATATATAAACTTATATATCTCTTTACCTCTTTCTCTTTATATTTCTGGAAACTATGTAAAAAGATATAGAGAATTTTAGAACATTCGTTATTGTTGAAAATATAGCAATTAAACTTTAAGTTGATGTAAGAATTTCTCTTAAGGATTTCAAGGTTTTAGATTTTCACCTATACTTGCTTTTGGTCAATATTTACTTCATTGTCTAGAAAAATATTATAGGGAAGTAAACTCTGACTCTTGGAAATCACTCTTGTGTAGACTCTGACTATTGATTTCTTTCTTCATTGTTATTGTTGCTTTTTGTTGTTGCTTTTAAGACAAAGTCTCTGTAAATTGCCCAAGTTGGTCTGGAATTCCCAGTCTCTAACTTCTTGCGTAGCTAGGATTAAAGACATTTGCTACCACACCTGGTTAACTGTATTGATTTCTAAATTATGTTGGTTCTCTGAAAACTTTGTGTAATCATTTTGATTGTGTAATAGATCTGTAACAATCCCACTGGCTGGATTACATGTTCTTCTAACACATTAATATATTTTTAGTGCTAAATTTGGGAGAGGATATGGAAGTGTAGTATCCTAGATACCCATATTTAAAGAAGTAACATTATTTTACAGTTTTCATACATAAAGGAGATGTTTTGGGAGGGTCATTTAAAAATGCTTTACTAGACTGTAAGACATTTTGGCCCACATATTAATAGTATTCTTATATGACTTTTCACTGTGTCATAATTCAAAGAGTGTTACACTGCATTCTTTATATACTGTCAGGATGCTTAGGAGTTTATGAGGACTGGAAAGAACTTTCCCTACATGAAAAGCTATCATTGTGTTTATTTCCTTGTATTAGGCCTGCACGCACACACACACACGCACACGCACACGCACACACACACACACACACACACACACACACACACACACATTTTCTATTGTTTTTGGTGCAATTTTGAAGGGCATAGTAAGAAAAGAGCTGAAAAATGTAAGTGTAAAGTGATGGACAAATGAGTACCTTGTCTCCCGTGATATATTTTGATTTTGGAATGAAAGATAAAAGTTGAATCATACAGCTTCTGGCCTAGCTACTCAGGGTCTCTATCAACCTTCTCCTGTGACACACCCATAATTTTAATAGCAAAATATCTTTTAATTTTTTATTTTTTTCTACCTGATACAAAAATTCAAGAGAGTAACTACTTTTATGAATTATAACAAGAAACCATATAGGATAAATTTGTAAATGAATGACTTTTATAATGATTATTTTATTTTAACAACTTTGGAAAATATTGTTCCAAGAAATATGGGGCACTTACAATGAAGACATGGATTTTGTCTTGGGTTTTACTAATGGGCCCAAATTTTATGTTCTCAGAGCTCTGCTTGTCTCATCAGCAAGAGAGATGGAAAGTTTACCCTGCTCTTATCACCAGGTTGTTTGGAGACTCAAAAAAGGTAATGCTTGGGAAAGTTTTTGAGTCATTAAGTAGTGTAATACTGTTAATTTTCAAAGTTTGAGTCCTCACGTCTTTTGAGAAGGATTAAGGGCACACAGTGTTGCACTGTCTGCAGCAGTCTTATCACTCTGCACTATGGAATTAGCTCATAATACACTACAGAACAGCAATGCCACCACCCACATAGTCAGCAGAGTCAGGCAGGAAGAAAGCTCTGTGACACCCTGTGAACTCCTGCTCTAAATACGGTGCACATCACAATTTTCATTTGGCAACTCTATATGTTATTGCAAAAGTGAAATACTCCTTTGCTCAAATTTTCTATATTTTTTTCTTGACACATTTTACATCTTAGGAAATTTAAAATATCCTAAATATTAGAATTTTTCTTGACTGCTACATCATTAATTAAATATATACTCAGCATTAAAATCATGAGAGATTTGACAAGTCATATATATTCCTTAATTTAATGCACACATTCCTTAACTTACTCTACACCAACCCTGGCACTAGTTTGCTCATTTTACTAGAAAGAAAACTGAAAGTTGGAGATCATACTTGGTTTCTTCAAAATAAGAACCAGTGAATGATGTAATTAGGAACTAGAGAAACTATATTATATTATCTTTCTTTTTTGTCTTTTTCCTTTTTATCGGTACCAGGGATCGAACTCACGACTGCCTGCTTGCAAGGCAGGTGCTTGTGCCACTGAGCTAAATCCCCAGCCCCTATATTACCTTTCTAGGTAATATTTTTGGTGAAAATTATTACATATAAATATAGCATTTCCAAAAACATAAAACACACAATTGGAAAATCTTCTAATTGTGGGAAAAGAAGATTCTAGTCCTCTCTACAACTATTGGAATGCATTAATAAGTAATTTTAGAAATATCTTCACATTAGTATTACTATTTCATGAGCCCAAAATATTTTAAACTTTCCTCTTATCTTTTAAGAATTTTGGATATATTTATTTGATTATAGTTACATCAAAGATAAGCATAACAATATCTGGCTAATTCCTAAAATTCTTGTTTTGTTTTGAGACAAGAGTCTGGCTTTGTAGTGTAAGCTGGCTTTGAACTTGCTTATGTACCTGAGGCTGGCCTTGAACTCGTAGTGATCCACTTACCTTAGTCTCCTGGGTGCTGGGATTACAGGTGTGCACCACCATGCCTGGCCTTAATTCCCCAAAATTGAATTTTATAATATTTAATAAGTCTAGTTTTATTCTCTCTTCCTATCAGTGTTATATATAGTTAGTAAGAATATCTGAAGACACAAGGTTTATGACATTCAGAATCAGTGGATAAAGGCCCAAATGCTAGTTCATTACTAATCTGACTGATTCGTTGTGGCTGAATTGAAATTTGAGCAGAACAGAGAATTTCTGTCTATGAAGTTGTTTGTAATTTTCTATATAATTTCATCGAGTATGTTGTTAGGTAATAAATTCCTGATTTCTTGTAATTACATTAATGTGCTTATATCTGACTTTACCTTAAATTTTATTTTAAAGAAGATAAAACCAAGGAAAACAACAGAATAAAATCAGTCAAAACAAACCAGTGTAAGTGATACAAGATTTCAAAACAATACAAAATGAACAATAGTTCATGCTGCTTGTCTTCAAAATAGCTACAGACACCTTCAGACATAGTAAAAATCAAACAGAACAGAATAGAACCAATAGAAATGAAACGATGAATACAATAACAGACTTCAAAACAACCCAATAATAAATCCAAAATGGCTACCATAATATATCCTGCTATCTTGAAATAACTGCTCATGCCATTGATATAATAAAACCAAACAAGATAAAACAGAATAAAACCTAACCCAGCAAAACAATGAAAATGATACAGGACTTCAAAAGAAGATAATTAACGATGACTGCCACCTTCAGAAGGAAATGTCCCCTGGATGCCATATTGCATGCCACTGTTTTCTCAACAGAAGATCACACCACTGTCTCTAGAGCTTAAGGTCAGTGAAAAACCAAACACCATAAGCAAGATGTATTTTTAAACATAAGTAGTATATAATTAAATATGAGCTCTTCATATTAGAAAATTGAGAGCAAAGCCACAGATTAAAAATTAATTTCAGATATAGATTGTATTTGTAATTTTTGTTGTTGGAAATAAGTAATAGTTTCTTTATACTATGCTTACGAAGATTTAACTAGTCAATCAGAAAATATGAAAATATTAAAAAATGACACATTTTGGGTATTGAATTTGAAAATATCTGTGGAATACTTTGTTCTGTATAGAATTCATATTTACTTTTATAGATTAAATATATTTTAAGTCATACATAAGCCCACAACAATTGTACATATTTATGGTGTACCATGTATGTGATTATCGCATACATGTATGTATTGTATAATGCTTAACACAGGTTAATCACATCAATCTCTTCAAAATTGATCATTATTTTTAAGGTGAAAACATCTCAAATGTTTTCTCTTGCCTTCTGAGAAATTCTGTATGTTGATGTGAACTATAGCCCGTTGCCAGGCAGTATGCATCAGAACTGCCTACTCTTGTCTGACCGGAAGTTGGTGGTCTCTGATGAACCACTCGTCTCGCCTGCCCTCTGCTCTTCTAGCCTCTGCTAACCATCATCTGTGCTCAGCTTCCGGGAGGGAGGTCAGCTCTTTAGTTGTGCATAGGGGCCAGATCATGCAGCACTTACTTTTCTGTGCCTGGCTTGTTTTACTTAATGCAATAACCTCCAGGTTCAGCCATGTTATTGCAAAAGACAAGGTTTCCCCTTTTTTTAAAGGCTATGTTTTGTAGAGTTAAGATTTTTAACATCAGTAGCCATTGTTTGCTTTTAATTGTTTTGTATATTTCTATCTTTGCTCCCACTATGTTTTCTATAAACATACTGTGAATTTAGTATTTATATGAGCACTAATAGGGATGGGCTAAATTTTACTAATCACCTGAATAGCATTGCCTCCTAAGGTGTATTTTATTTATTTATTTATTTATTTATTTAAATTTTATTTAAGGAGAAAAAGAAAAGCAGAAAAAGGGTACAAGTTATACAGAATTTCAGAAAAAAAAAACAACTAGGAAATCACTAGTTAATGGATTACATATTGTCATCTTAGAAATATTTGTTCAAGTTACAAAATTAAAGCATATAAAGTGAACATTCAAACAGTGAAACTGCAAACAGTTCTGTTCAATGATCCAACAAAACTCAGTAATATCATTGTCTATCTTATACATTTAAATATACATGCAGTTATATCGTTTAGAGCACTTTCTTTTCCTCTCTTTTGTACAATGACTATTACACATTTTGGGTTTTATTACTCCCACAGTTCTTATTACTTTTTTGGAAGAGAGTAAAACCAAATGTGACATAACAGAACAGAGTCGGTCAAATCAAAAGGGTGGACATAATAGATAATGTAAAAACATAATACAAGGTGATCAACAATGGTTACCATAATGCCTCCCGCTATCTCAAATAGAATTGCCTATATCATGAGTTACAATAAAATTGAACAAAACAAAACATTGCAGATATTACAGGTCTTCAAAAGTAGATAATAGTCAACCAGAATGGGCATCATAATGAATCCCACTATCTTCACAGCTGTTGTTGTAAGGTGTATTTTAAATAGAGCATGAAAGTCCAAAAGTGTCAAAGGATATCCTTATTATTACAGTAATAATAGAGTTCTTGCAAAGTATTCAATACTCTGACATTACGGCATCATTTGCTGACTGTGTTGCTTAAATATAGTATATGGACAATCTATAACAGACTTTGTACTATTATTATTTATGTTATAGTACAGTATTAGGATATTAACATATGGTCATATTCGAAGTCAGTAGTACTTTTAAAATATGAGTAAAAAGAAATTTCATAGTAACTCAACGGAAAATCACTTTGAATCTGTGCTTTTTTCACTCATTCTTACGTTTTTTCTGTATTTTTTCATTATACAAATATTTAACATGTTCTAATAATTGTAGGTGTTGAGAAACAGTTAAATAAAATAGAAGAAATAAACTCTCCTTTTTAAATCTATAGTCTGGCTTTTTAAAAACATAGCTAATTTGATAAACTTTTGTTCTCTTTTCTGCTAATTTTGTGGTGGAATTCTTTTGCTAATGGTTATATAAGATGTTAGTAGTACGTATTTAGATAAATAAATTATTTTGTGAAAAGTTAATTTTTAATAGCAAGATTAAATTGCTTATGATGAAACAGGATTAGAAGGCAGTCAGTGAGTGAACAAAAGCAATGATTATTTTATATTGTGAAGAAAACTTAAAAATATAATGACAAGAAACTGAGTCCTAAAGAGTTGTCGTTTGTCTATGATTGAAGAGGTAGGCATGCCAGGGCTCCCAGCTGAGACTGGAAGCCAGGTATGCTTGGTTCTGATATATTTCCTTTAACTCAAATAAAATCTGACATCTTAGATTTTATGTTACTCTTACCCATGCGTGAGAGTTCTCACTGTCTTTGTGCTGTACCTACATGTAGAGTTAGAAGGATCTTAGAGGCTTTTTGCCAGTGTGTGTTTATTATTACAGAGAAGAAATTCCTCTGAACTTAGAACCATCGTTACTACTGGAGTCCATTTGCAGGAGTATATTCCTTTATATCTCAATGCAAATTCTAGGAAACATGATTTGCATATAGGTTTACAATGAGCACTTTTGAGAATTATGTGGGACAATAAGCATTTATTACTTCCTAAAGAATTCTACAGAAGTAGCTACTTCATAAGCTTTTTTAAAATCATGAAATTTATATTTGAGTAGCTTATGCCTGATACCACCTTTGCAGTTGAAACTTACTTGTATCTTTTTCAACCTGATTTCCTCAAACTTTGAAGAATTTTGAAATTTTATGAAGAGTTTGGCTTTTATTCTAATCTATTATACACTAGACAGGATCTTTCAGTGAGTATTTCTTGATTATTTACTACTGTTTTTAGGTGCTGGG